CTGCACACGTGGCTAGTATGCTGCACACGTGGCTAGTATGCTGCACACGTGGCTAGTATGCTGCACACGTGGCTAGTATGCTGCACACGTGGCTAGTATGCTGCACACGTGGCTAGTATGCTGCACACGTGGCAAGTATGCTGCACACGTGGCTAGTATGCTGCACACGTGGCTAGTATGCTGCACACGTGGCTAGTATGCTGCACACGTGGCTAGTATGCTGCACACGTGGCTAGTATGCTGCACACGTGGCTAGTATGCTGCACACGTGATGAAGCTATCTGCTTATTGGTAGATCCTAGGTAGACACTGATTACTTCATCACGTACACGTCATGTGATCAGGTAAACTTCCATTCAGTTGGAACAGGGATTTTATTGTGTACTATCAAGTAAAAGTTAGGACAGAAACTTGACTTCGTAATCGATAACCGAACGCATCACGTAAAGTCTTGCTGAAGTCAAGTTTTCACAAGGAAAGGAGTTGCGAGTTATATGAAACTTTGCTGAGGATGGGACATCAGGACCGGAGCCGTATTTTATCTCCATCAGGGCTCATTTCTTGAATTAACATGCCTTAAAGCTGTAGTGATCTACCAAAGAACAGTAGGAGAGGGAGACACGAAGTAGAAATACATCGGGCTAACTGAAAACACCTTTAACATCCGATTAAGCTCCTGAGGCACCTGACAGAACTGTTGAAGAAAGTGTGGAAATTAAAGGACACCACCCCTTGTCCAAAGACGAATATATGATTTTCATGCTCGTTAATAATATGAACAATGAACATCTTAAAGAAGCAAGATATGATATATCTATTATACCTTACTATCTTTTAGATTTATGTCACTTATGATGGCTTCGGCTGAAAGTACTATGACTCATTTTATCTAGAAGATCGTAGTTTCATTGCTTCTGAAGTAGCTATCAGTTCGCCGGTCAATGTTGGGTTTAATACTCATATATTTATATATCTATTATATAATATAATCAAATAATACGGATACAATATTATAACCTTTATAACATGTTTATTGTTTACAATTTACAAAGCTACAAAATTCTAAAGGATACAGCCTGCATAGTTACGAATGCTCAAGTCTAGCAAACAGTTCTAACTAGACACTAGTGAACATATTCCTTAACAATTGTCTTCATGGTGTCCACAAATTCTGTATTTCCTTTACTCCCAGGCATGTAGGATGACATATGATTGGCCCCCGGAAAAACAACAAATTCCAGCAATCTTCCTGCTCGTCGCAGTCTACTAGCAAGCCTTGTTGCCTCTGTGATATAATAATCAAACTCTGCTTCCAAGATGATGGTTGGCGGGAATTTTCCAAGAAGCTCCTCGCTTGCCTTGCCAGGGAAGAGGTGGGGATCAGTCTTTTGCCGCTCAAAATCTGAAGCAATAAGATGCTTCCAAATCTTCCGCATTGACAAATGAACCTCCCTTTCCTCTACAGTCATTGCTAGAGGGTCAGAAAAGCAGTAGTCGTCAACCATGGGAACACAAGGAATAGCCAATTTTACCAGATAACCCTCTCCATTCTGAGCTAACAGTACCATGGCACCAAGACATATGTACCCTCCACCACTTTCTCCGGCGATAAAAATCTTAGAAGGAGCTACTCCAAAGCTCTCAGCATTCTTACTTACATACTTGATAACCTCATAAAAATCCTTGATGTTGTTGGGGCATTTTGTTTCAGGAGCAAGGCGGTAATCAACATTGAATGCCACAACGTTCATATCAACAGCAATGCATTGCACTCCTTTCCTATTATCAGCAGCCGAGAAAGCTATTGCACCTCCCCCGTGGGCATATATGAAGGCAGCCTTCTTTGTATCATTGTCAAGCTCTTTTGGAGTGTAGACCTCGACTGGGACATCAAATTCTCCGTCATGAGAAGTTGGAACTTTCAAAAAAGTTGTCGTTGTTTGTTCACCTCCGTAATTTAGAACTGGCATGTTATCCAGATCTTTTACGAATGACATCATTGACGATCTTAAAAGAGCAAGCCACTCCGAATTAGATTCTTGGTCGTCGTTAGTCTCGAGTTCTTTCATCCTATCCATGACTTGCTTAGCTTCAGGGGAGGCTCCCATCATTTGTTCCATTTGAGCCTCCATATCTTTCACTTCTTCATTCATTTCTCCCGTTAGCGGGAAGTTAAAGAGGTTTTTGGAAACAACTCTCGACATTTAAACCTGAACGTGTTGCTGATTAAAAAAGCAGAGAGAAAGTCCCTATAGTACCATAACACTGAATCCAGAAGGTATTTTAAAAACGAATAGCTCAACATTGTTGAGTCAACAATCCGAGGCTAAATATGAAATTAATGACTCATTGAATATATGCTTATGATAAACCTTCTCCCAGCATATGGAGCAAGAGACGCTGGAGGAATCCTGATTGCAGAAACCTGTACAGCAAAGACTCCTATCGTAGCGGCTCTAAATGAGTTGGAATCATTAATTGATGGAACACCGACACCCCACAACTGAATTATGTTAAACAACAGGTATTTGGCGATACAGATGACAAACAAGTACTCTATAACTCGCCAAGTCAAAACTTCAAAGGGCAGGGAGTTAATAGAATGAAAGGCGCTGATACGATCACAATTACATACACAAATAAATAGTACTTCCTAGATGGGAGTGATGGTTAATTATAAGGTAAATGTATAATACTCAAATATAATATATAAAAGGCCCCTGATATCACTCCCCCGCGAACAAATAAGAAAAAAATGAGTAAAAAGTTTATAAATCAGATTTGCATAAAAATGTTCAAATTTAACTCGGTTACATCTCAAGTACTAAAATTTTATAAATCTGTGAAACACGTTACAATTGCTAAATTGTTAAAAATCATTCCCCATCAGTAATAAATTAAAGCAAATATAAAACATCCCCAATAAATAACGCATCAAAATATGAATGTTATCATCTGTGATGTCATAATTTAAAAAATGTCTAAATGTATATATAATTTGTCATACATACATTATAAATTGTCTATTAGTCTATTCACTGGTTTTACTGTTCTACCAGATCGTGTTTGTAAACAAGTTGCAGGTGCAACTGGTGCAAGTGCTTGGGTGCGTGCTGGTTGTGCCATAGGTTCATCTCTTGGTGAGCTAGTCATCAATGATGCTGAAGGTTGAGGTCTTTCCATTGGTGGTATTTTACTAGGGTCTCTGTTCAGCACCTTTTATCTGAAATGCTGATTGTGCATAGTGTCTTGCAGCTCCGGCAAGTGTTCGTTGTGTACTGTCACTATAATTGACGGGGCCTTTTATATATGCAACAACCCTTAAGAAACACGAATTCTCAAACGTTAATAAATATAACAAAGTTCAAGTTGCCAAACGGCAACAGTCAAACATTATATATAAATACAATACTGTGTTCAATCGGAAAATAAAACGTGCATACACACATAACAGGCAGGAAACAATCATGCAAACACTGATACAGATGAGTTATTAAAAGATATAGATTCATCCTGCTTCAGCAAAACTTGGTCGACGTGATCAGAACGTCTTGTCGAAGTAAACTTAATCGATCTGAATTTTTGTGCTCTTACAGTTCAATTATTCAACCGTTTTAAAGAGTAGTCTGTCCACGATTTTGGCTAGGAAAAATAGTTTTTACAGTCATAGTTAGTCCCTTATCTTTCTCCTCGATTACCTCAATTAGTAGCCCAATGATTGTTTGAAATCTTTCCTTGTTCTTGACTTTCCCATCGTTATTCTAAGCAAAACCGTCCAAAAGTTATAACCGTCCTTCAGTGGAGATGCAGCAAACGAGGCCGAATAGAGCACAATACTAGGCAGAAATCTTAGAGCATCCAATAAAAAGTTTAAACAAGATTAAAGTTTTTGTACAGAACTAAAAAGGAGACTAAAAAGGTACAGAACTAAAAAGATCATAGGTAGATAGAATTATCATTTATCAGTTATTAGATTATATATTCGCATATATCCATATTGTACGTGTAATGTAAATAGTGTGGATTTTTGCGAATATCTGAATATTATATAATATAATCTAATAACTGATAAATGATATTCCGCACAAGGCTTGAAATTGTGCTGTATATGAGTGGTGATTTCGCTCTGAAAATCAGGGACAGTAGCTCAATAGGTAGAGCAAGGCAAGCGTGACGCGATATGTCGAGGTTCTGGGATCATTCCCCAGTTGTCCCCAGTTTTTCAGAGTTAATTATCACCTATAGACAACATGAGAGTAGGCCCTGCCATCTCGAGGTGATAGATAAATTTAGATGAAACGAAAAGGTTATTGAAAAGTACCTACCACCTACGATCTATCTATCTAGTTCTACCATCAAGGGTTCAGGAATGTCAGCTGTGTTGGAATGTAATATTTTAACAACACATTGTTGAGCGTCAATTGAGCTCAATACGGCGGCCCCAGGAGGGGGGGGGGGGAGTTCAACTATGAAATACATTTTAATGTAAAGACTTCCATGCGTGTACATGTCTAAAATACATCTAGAATTGTCAAGAAACTCGATGTTATACCTTTTTGTTCTAAATTGTTCTGTTTAAATTCAACACAAAAATAATGTGATGCAACGTTATGCCATGAAGTATGTCCGCTCAACGCCCACGTGTTGTTCTCCTTAAAAACTCCGTTAGAGTATTTTATTTTGGAGGACACTACAAACCTAATTGTATGTTCAAAGAAATAATTATACTCATAATTGTGCCCGCCCAAAACAATTCCCGTTCACGTAAAAATAAGGTCCGTAAAGTATACCATGTTTACCTGTCGAATCATACAACTTGTAAAATCTCTGTAAATGATACGATGAAGTGCAAAAGTTCAAACAAGAAATAACAAACAAGTCAACTGTGCTGTTCACTTGGCGTCTCCGTCCTGCTGTTCGTTTAAATATTGGCCGTTAGATGGGATGCTGTTCAGAGCGAGAGGGTGTACTATTTCTTAGTGCTGTGAAGTACACAAATCTATTACATTTATTGAGGACGTTACATCTTTACATGAGGAATATTGGGAAATTCCAACAAAGCGACTTTGTCAGCCCAGCCCCAAACCCCCCCTCCCCCGCACCTTGGTGATTATTCCCCTGGAGATGTGTTTCTACACTTTGATGCCCGACCGGCACTCGACTGACGCCCTACCGCTCGAACTACCTCATTTGTATACACATTTATTCCTGGCTTATTTTATTGTCGAGTTCTAATCGTATCTTTATTACTAGGTATTGATGATGAAAGACAATTTTCCACCTACAATTTTACAAAGATTTATTTATTTTCCACTCATTTGTTGTATGACAGTGGGAACTATTTATTGAATTATAAATAATTAATTGAACTATAAATAATTAATTGAATTAATTTTGTGATAATAATCATTAATCAAGTAATATTAATATGGATATGATTTTATTACACAAACAGACGTGTTATCATTTATACAGCTAAAAAACTCGACAGTTCTCACACGTGAACGTATTCTTTAGCGATCTTTTTCATGGTATCCTTATAGACTTCCATTCCTTTACTTCCAGGCATGAATAATGACATATGATTGGCCCCCGGAAAAACAACAAATTCCAGCAATCTTCCCGCTCTTCGCAGCCTGTTAGCAAGCCTTGTAGCCTCTGTGATATATAAATCAAATTCTGCTTCCACGATAATGGTTGGCGGGAATTTCTCTAGAAGCTCCTCGCTTGCCTTGCCAGGGAAGAGGTGGGGATCAGTCTTTTGCTGCTCAAAATCTGAAGCAATAAGATGCTTCCAAATTTTCCGCATTGACAAATGAACCTTCCTTTCCTCTACAGTCATTACTAGAGGGTCAGAAAAGCAGTAATCATCAACCATGGGAACACCAGGTATAGCTAATTTTACCAGATGACCCTCTCCATTCTGAGCTAACAGTACCATGGCACCAAGACAGATGTAACCTCCACCACTATCCCCAGCGATAAAAATCTTAGAAGGATCTACTCCAAAGCTCTCGGCATTCTTACTTACATATTTGATAACCTCATAAAAATCCTTGATGTTGTTGGGGCATTTTGTTTCGGGAGCAAGGCGGTAATCAACATTGAATGCCACAACGTTCATCTCAACAGCAATGCATTGCACTCCTTTCCTCAAATCAGCAGCCGAGAAAGCTATTGCACCTCCCCCGTGGGCATAGATGTAAGCAGCCTTCTTTGTATCATTGTCAAGCTCTTTAGGAGTGTAGACCTCGACTGGGACATCAAATTCCCCGTCATGAGAAGTTGGAACTTTCAAAAAAGTGGTCGTTGTCTGCTCTCCTCCGTAATTTAGAACTGGCATGTTATCCAGAGCTTTTACGAATGACATCATGGACGATCTGAAAAGAGCAAGCCACTCCATATTGGATTCTTGGTCGTCTTTAGTCTCGAGTTCTTTCGTCCTATCCATGACTTGCTTAGCTTCAGGGGAGGCTCCCATCATTTGTTCCATTTGAGCCTCCATAGCTTTAACATCTTCATCCAATTCACCCGCAGGGGCGAAGTTAAAGAGGTTTTTAGAAACGACTCTCGTCATTTTAACCTAAACATGATGTTTATTTAAGAAATAATGAATAGGTCAACTGAAAATAAATCAGAATAGATCGAATAGTTTTCAATATTTCGCTTTACTGCACAATATGCGATATACTACGATATGAACCCAAAGATCCCCGTAAATAAGTTTTTTTACAGTAAATGTAATTGTGTTTAATCAACGGATGTCGATTGTTGAACTTAAAGTTGTCAAAACTTTAAATTTTGTTGATTGCAAGTCAAATCGAGCGTGAAACGAAGCTGAGCGAATGAATTGTAACCATCTGCAAACCAAAAACACGAAGGAAAGCCTCATGACATCTAATCAAATTATTAAGATAAAAAGCGAACAGACCATGCCGGTGAGGCCTACCTTTCGAGATCGAATTACAACACACATAGGGGTCGTTCACATATTATGTAAAACCCCATGTTCTGTTTTTCAGTCGCATAGATGTTCCCATCGTATGATAATGGGTGTCATTCCCTCGTTCTTTAATCAAGTGGTTACTGCACTGGCTAGCTCTTTTGTTATTACAGCTGCCTCGAGATCTTATCTGGGGCACTAATACTATAACACTAGAACTGTAATTCTAGAGCCTCAGAGTAAGATTACTTGGCAGAAGACTTTGGCTGTCAGACAGTTGCGCCCAATCTAGATCTAGCTATCACGGGAAGATGACGAATCAAAACCAATTATAAAACTGCTTGATCAGATACGACAGTTGCGCCCAATCGATAATGAAATCCCCCAATTATAATAAAAGTAATCTTTATTCAATCAAAAATCGTACGATCATAACGATAGACGCAAAGCTACGAAGAATGGTACAGATAGGACGAGATCGTTCGTTATTATCTTTACCCTAGCAAAATTGAGTTATCGAGGATAATATGCGATGAAATAGCGAACATATGCATTCTACAATAACATTATATCTATAGCCCTTCAAAATAGTGTTTTAGAATTGAGAAATGACTATTTTAATGTGGCTTTCTCCGACAACCTACAAGTAAAACACAGCCAGATGACACCATTTATCGTAGTTATCACAAATTATGATATGTATTTTGCAAAGTACAGACAACCATGGTCTGAGAAAAGGTTTGTGTGGATACAACATGTGATTCGAAAAAGGGAATGTAGATTGTGGGTCCTCGGAAAATTTTAGGAAAATTTACTTTTAGGACTGAAATCTAACAATGAGGGATGATAAATGAATAATGTCTAACACTGAGTTTCCTGACAATTCAATATAATATTATATTATATATTATATATACATAGAATTATCATCATAGAAGATTTTTATTTGTTCGTTTGAAATGTTGTTGCTTGTTTATTTGCAAGGTAGATATTAATAATATTATTAGCAAATTCTTAATATGAATTTTAATTTGTAAGTCTGGTTACCTGAGCACATCAATTATTTGATTATCCCGCAATCAAAACTGGATTTGGTTTTAAGACCTGTATTCGATTTTCAAACTTATGTATTTGATAAATTACAAATTTCAAAAGAAACAATTTAAAATTCAAGTTTGACCAACCTGTCTATTTCCCAGTACAAGATTGGCTAGTGAAGCGAACAATTCCTTGTCTTTGACTTTACTCTGATGCAGAGATCTCTTTTTAGCCAATGATTCTTGAGACAGAATCTTGCTCGTTGATTTTATACCGTACAAGCTGCAAAAGAATTATTATTACTCTGCCAGACCTGACTTGGACGGACGTAACGTCTATTTTGGGCGGAAATTACGTCAAGGATGTTCAGACGGAATGTTTTAAAGAATATAAATTGATAATCTGTATTAAAAGTCACAAGCTAGGTTTCAACGCAAGTTTACTTTTCTACAATCAGAGTAATTTACCAGTTTTAAAGAATATGAATTGATAATCTGTATTATAAGTCACAAAGCAAGTTTACTTTTCTACAATCAGAGTAATTTACCAGTTTTCTGCAACAGATCTGACTTCCCCTAAATCCAGTAGCCTTATTTGAACCATACCGCCCGCACCTGTCCCAGTTTCTTGAACAATTCCTCGACAAAACACCTGAGTTTGGTCCAATCAGACGTAAGAACGAGCATCACGTGATTAAGAAGAACCAATCACAAACCCTTACTGCTACTACTATTCTCGTGGTGCGAAGATCACTGAATGTTGACAGTGAAAACATTCTGAAATCTTGGAGCTTTCCCGAGTGTGATTCATTTACCAAATGACAGTGAAATTTTAGATGTAACATTACACAAACTCTACATACAAACAAATGTGGCTGTATTTGTGTACCTGGTTGATCTTTACAGCTACCATCTCGTTTTTAACAGGCGTACTCAGAGGAAGGGGAGATAGTTTTAACATTTTAGAATACCGCCTGAAATAAAGCACTTCTATTACTTGTCCGGTCACGTGAGAGATCTAGCATTCTCACAAGAATCTATCCGATCTCAAAAGTTATGGCTGGGCCCAAAAATTATACTACATTTAAATTACTGATTCAAAATATCACTAAATATCACTAAATATCACTAAATATCACTAAATATCACTAAATATCACTAAATATCACTAAATATCACTAAATATCACTAAATATCACTAAATATCACTAAATATCACTAAATATCACTAAATATCACTAAATATCACTAAATATCACTAAATATCACTAAATATCACTAAATATCACTAAATATCACTAAATATCACAAAATGTGAATTGAGTAAGAATAGTACAGTTAATCTCCAGACTTACTTGAGACGATGATAGTCCGTCTTGGCAATGGTCCAGATACCCTCACCGTCACACCACGTGACAATAACACGTGATACAGTAGCTGAAGCAGGGATGTGGGACGAGAGGAGTCGCTCAGGTAGAGGTGTGGGAGGACAGTGTCTCCAGTGCTGTAATATTAGGTTGTTTAGGAGCGTGTGTAATACTAGTTGGAGATTGGAGAGAGCAAATGCTGGTACACTGGTTTAATATAATTAAACTTCAGTATTAGTTTTGTAAGGCAGTATGTTATGTTGATTTAAAGAGGAAAATGCATGCACCATATTAATTTCCGACTTTTAGATTCTTAGCGTAAAAATCAGCGGTAAAATTCTGCATGTGACTATGTAAACTTTTAGTTATTTTAGTTATATTTTAGTTATTTTAGGCCGTATGAAAAAAGACCGATGTTCCGTATGTGCACCCATTTAACTCATCCTCAAAGTTAACGGTACCTCAAGGTCGAAAGGTGCACCCCGTGTCACAGTTTCTACTCAATTTTATAACATTATTAGACAAATTTAAAAATAACTCGTTACAATACTTAATAGATCTTTAGCATAATCTGTTGCAGGTTGCTGGATACAGTAATTTAAGTGCAGAATAGGTCACACAAAAACGTAGTAGTTCCGAAACTAAGGCAGTTCATGAGAGACTGGGTTAGACTGGGTCCCCTCGGAAGTGCACATTTTGGTGTTAGGCCTGCACATTCGGGACATCAGTCTACTTTTAGTTTACAAACAGATCTATCCGAGTAAAAGTTTGCCACAAGCGTTTTTGAATGTACCTTATAATGCCGTCAACTACCTAAATAATCTAATTTGTCGAACTTTTCAATTATCATAATATAAATAATTATTTTACGTCACATTTAATCCTTTTTCGAATAACTGCTTCAGGTTAAGATCAAAATATTGTTGAATAATCTTCAAATCGAAATTATAACACCAATGTATGTGTAAAAAACAAAATTTTAGACTTAACATTTTCTCTCTCTTTTCGTGAACAGATTACTTTATTTTATGAAATCTAGAATAATTTCTCGAATTAAAGTAACAAACGCAACTACTAATATATAATTAAGTACTGAGAGCAAGCTTTTTTTGTTTTTTAACATTTTTTATAGCTGTTTTGTCCTTGAAACAGTAAATTCTCGAATAAAAGTAACATACGCAACTACTAATATATAATTAAGTACTAAGAGCAAGCTTTTTTTGTTTTTAAACATTTTTAATAGCTGTTTTGTCCAAACAGTAAATTCTCGAATTAAAGTAACATACGCAAGTTCTACTAATATATAATTAAGTACTAAGAGCAAGCTTTTTTTGTTTTTAAACATTTTTAATAGCTGTTTTGTCCTTGAAACAGTAAATTTTCGAATAAAATTAACATACGCAACTACTAATATATAATTAAGTACTAAGAGTAAGCTTTTTTTGTTTTTAAACATTTTTAATAGCTTTTTTGTCCATAAAGAAAAATACCGATCAATGAAAAAGATGCAATAAATTCGGTCTCGGGTTTCTAGCAAATCAGAGTTTTGACTGTACACATTACGATGATTATGTAATATTTAATTGTAATGTTATGTTCACACTAATTTTGGGGGAAAGATTGCTGTGGTTGATTGGGGATTGCGAAATACATTTCTCATCTTTGCTAAAACAAAAGAGTTCAAATAAATATGTCGCACAACTTCATCTTGGGACTTGGAGGTCGTTTACATTATGTTTGTTTACACATCTAGGGGAGGCCGGAGGAGATTTGGAAATGCTTGCTATTTCTACACATTAGTTATGTGTACAAAGTGGATTAATTTGATGGGAGGGGGATCTAAAATAGCCAAAATCTGGCTTGCGTAATATGTGAACGATCTCTTGACAACAAAGAATTGTACGGTAAAATAATAAGAGTCCGAGGTTTTCTAAACGTTGTTAGGACCTTGCATAATATCTAAGATCAATTTGGCAGTAAAAAAGGCATCAGTGTTTTCTTAGTGAACGATGAAATTGTTGTTGAAACATCTAAAGTAGAGTCAACGGGACTCCAAATCCATCATTTTGAATTTGTCACATTTCTACATATTTCTACACATTTCTTATTGGGTCCAAGTAATTGCGGACATAGTTCACTATGTGTTTACCGTGTATTAAATCTTCTCGTCAAGCCCACAGAAGAAGTTACACGGCGAGAAGGCTTCTTATCATTTTCTTTCCTTTCTTTCTCACTTAGTTTATTCATTTCCTGGTACTCTTGACATAATTTTTGCAGAGATTCCAAACACGTTTTAAATTGAGGAATGAGTTCTAGTTCGTAGGTCTCGTCCATGAGCCCTCCAAGGTCCTTTGAAACTTCTGTTCCCTCCCTTATTGTTTCCAAATGTTGTAGCTTCACGTTCAGCTGATTACGATCTTCATCAGCTTTCTTCACCAAAGCGTCGAAGTGTTCGGTTGTTATTTTAATTTCATCGAGCATGCTGTGGTATGTCCTCCTAAGATCTGGCACTAGCTTGCCTTCAACAACACCAGCACTAGTTCCAAAAGCTATTGCAGCTGCAGCAAGTCCGATAGGATTCCAAAAGTTGGCTGCACCCACAACAGCAGCAACGCCAACCACAATTGTTGTTCCTCCATAAGCTACTCCTCGTGTATTTGCATAGGAGCTATTTTTCTCTGCTCGTATCACGGCTGATTTTCTCTTGCACCAATTTTTAAGCTGACCCAGGGGAATTGACGCATCAAGTAATGAGTCTGTAGCTGTGGATATTCTTTCGCAAGCAGCTTTTAAATCCGGTAGAACATTGTCTTCTAATCTTTTCAGGTACAATTTCAACGTATTTCTAAATCTAACATGGTCTGAGTTTGCATCACGACTGCGAATTTGCACTGATTGTAAGACCGACTTAACGAGCCCACTCAGGGTAGTCACGGCTTCATTCGAAGACTTTATAGCGAGTTCAAAATCTTTAGCTGCTTTGATAAGACACTCCAGATTCTTCTTTTCCTTTTCGTCTAAATGAGCATTCACCTGCAAAAAGGATTCTATGGCCTTTGAAATTATAATGCTGTCGAAAGTCACTATCACTTTCTTAAGTAGTGATATAACTTCAACCATTAATGTCATGCCATCTTTAACTGTAAGTGGATCTGAGCTAACAAGCTTTGAACAGGAACTTGTAATGGTTGCCATCATTCCTTTACTCATGTCGAATTCCTTCGTGAATAGGAGGTATTAAATATAGCAGCATAACACTATAATCTAGTAGCATATTGCATAGTTGTTTCGTGCACACTTTACGCACTTTCAAAACACAACGCACTATGCGCACGAAACGACTCAAATTCACGCACTTTTAGGTATCTTTAGGGACTTTTTACCAAATAAACTTATACAGTACACATACTATCGGCCAGAATAATACTTATTTGTGTAATAGTGGACCAAAAGTGTCAAGTGCAAGGTATCATACCCTATAGTTTTTGGTATGAGAAATCAATATAAAAATTGGGCACTCTTGAAAATGTCCTTAAAAGGTCGATGAAAATTATGAGCGGCTAAAAAATAGAACGTTAAATTGTCCATCAGTGCAAAATGTGAACGGCTAAAAGTTAAGAAGTTTAATATTAGTGTATGATGCCTCGCATCGAAATCCCTCGCCCCACAGATTGACATTGAGCCACTTCATATTAGTCGTTTAAACAGTTAATACACACGATGTGTTGCAATCTTATAATGTAAGCTCCCGCCAGCCAGTCTGAGGTGACTCACAATATGTGATCATAATACCTTCGTTTCCTTGCGGGGAAAATCTGCAAATTATCAGCTCTCAGTGCCGAAGAGATTTAGTGCATATAATTATTAATAATAGTAATAAAGTATTACATGACACGTTAAGTCTTTAGACGCTTATATTTATATTGGGTGTCTTCCACGAACAGTTTATGGTGTGACTTTGGGAGTCGAACTTAACGTGCACTTGGGCGCAACTGTCGTTTTGAGAATCTGAAACGGCGAATCAGATCACGTCACTGATTGGGAACCTGTTAATGGCCTGTTAAGGTGTGGAAAACGGGCGCAACTGTCGGTAGGCCATTTTTTAGGTGTTTCTGGACACAAAGTGAGTCATCTTGCATCTTCTGACAAATGCTATATTGCTCATGAGTCTTTAGGACCTTTCTAGTTAACAGTCCAATAGCCCATTTGTGAGTATTGTCATTGTTCGCTCGGCAAAAATCCGTTTTTAGCCACATTTCCGAAAATAAGCATTTTAAGGTATATAATATTGCTTCATAAGTTGTATATATACAACTTATGAAGCTTATATATAATACATATTATGGCTATTAGGCACATTTTGGTGTATCGGAATAGTCTCTACGACGTTCCTGGACTGAAATACAAAAATTCGAGTGACCACGAAACCCTGAAAAAGGGTGTGGCCGAAAACGCCCCTATTGTATTTATTACAAAGATGCAATAATGCCTGAATGTTTTAAGCATCATCTAGAGAGGTGATAACTCTCGAGAAATCGCTTTCAACACAAAAAGCTAACGAGTTTCCCTTTCGTCTCGGACTATTGATGTTTTTTGATGCGGTAAAAAGTATCGATTAGGGAATACTTAGATAAAACCTTTATCGTTATCGGCAAATAAAAATCCATACAATTTATATTACGGAGCTAGATCATAGATGATGGCAATGAACTATAACATAAGTGATTTTAAATTTCCTTGAATAAAGCTTTAAGCTAGCGGGTGTACAGGTTGGAGGAAGCCTATGAGCTAGGTAGGCAGATAACTTAGTGTTAACCATATTATAAGGCACAACACTCATACTCGAAAAAAGCTTTAAAATCGTACAAGAAAAATGTATGGTCAGGAACAGGTTGTAATTATACGGAATATTGAAACTGTCCCTTTAATCACGAATCAATACGAACAAAAAGGTAGATTGATAACAGCGTGAATATGAGGTATATAAGATGAGCTGTAGGAGTGATATGTTTCGCTCTATAAGGCAGCTGAGCACAAAATAAAAGGATGAAACATTCTGTAAGCTAGTATAGTAGTAAAAATATACTAGCTTGTTGAGGATAACATGCGATGAGCTATTCTTACTTTATATCACAAGATCTAATCATGTCCTAGCATTCCCTACTCATAGTCAATATCCCATTCCCTGTAATTGTTAAGCTAAGAAGGTACATTAAACGTGTGTGAACAATAATGTTGTGTTATCCAGCTATTGTCGTGCGAAGTACCTACAGCTTTACACGTCACGAGGCACACTGTTGACTGTTCCTACTCAAGTATTGTTTCCTACAAATCTTCTTTCCAGATACTTTTTATTCAGGCTATATTATCGAGAATATGTCTATATTATATTTTAAACTTGACGAAATCTCCCCGGTAACGTTTAAAATATAATATAGATATATTCTCGATAGTATTGCATGAATAAATAGTATTATTATTATTATAAAACAGGATCTTACCGACAAAAATGATTCTTAAAAATACCTTAATGCGGTAAACTGTACCCTTGAAAAAGATTTTCCCAACATCTGTTGCATGCAGCTATATCTCTAATTTCGTTCAATTCATGCAAGTTGTCCATTTGCAAATTTCTACTACTTAAATCACTTCTTAAAACAGATAACAAGTTCATTCTAGGTCTCCCCAATCTACCAATGAATAAATTATCTGATTCAATAGCAAAAGAGAGAGCCGTTTGGGCTGGGGTGTTCTCCATACTCCTGAGAATGTGTCCAAACATCTTCCACCGCTGGTGTTCAATACGCTTGGATAACTTTTCAACTTTGCACCTTTCATACAATGCTTTGTTGCTTATCATACCTTTAGGCCATTTGATGTTTAAAATGGACCTGAGGTGTCTACGATGGAGTGTGTCCATTTTCTCCATGGTTGCTTTCTTAGGACTCCAACTATTTGAGTTGTAAATCAATACAGATACAACTTGAGCATCATATAACCTCAGCTTTCTTTCAAGGGAAATTTTCTTACCGGACAACCATACTTTTCCAAAGTTCTTAAAAGCAATCTCAGCTAGGATTCTCCTTCTTTGAATGTCCTTCTCAGTACAGAGTAAGGAACCTAGTGACTTGTTACTTCGCCATGGTTCGTTATTAGCTAATGGCTGACCGTTTGTGTCTTTATCAGATTTTTTCGCCAGGTAGAAGGTACTGAATTCAGTTTTACTTTCATTTACTTGGAGGTTCCAGTCTTTGAGAATCTCCTTCACTGTAGGAAGGAAAATTCTCAGTTTCTCGATGTCCTCGTCAGCAAAGTCACAATCGTCTGAATATTCCCACTCAGTTGGAAAACCTAGTTCTGATACTGGTGGGTTTGGTCTCCCAGATACAGCTCTGAGGTGGTGTAAGGCTGCTGCAAGAATAAGTGTGAATAGCTTTCCAGATAAACTGTCACCTTGAAAGGCTCCGAGTAAACTTTCAAACTCTTCCGACAGTGAGGAGTTAACACGAACTCTAAGGAGAGTATTCGATAGAAGGTATTGAACTAAGCGAATGTCGTCCTCCGAACAACCAGCATCCTTCAAAACATTGATGATAGTGTCCCTTTTCACGGTATCAAAAGCTCTACTCATATCAATACCCATTTTGCTAAATGTCCATTTCTTCCTCATCACAACAGATATTAGCATTCTCTGAGCCCACACAATGTCAGAGCAGCTCCTACCTCTCTTGTAAGCACTCTGCCATGGCATGGTGTAGTTGTCAATTCTACTCTCAACCCGTTTTAAGGCAATTTGAGTGAGCATCTTCCTTGATCCGTTTAACAGTGTAAGTGGTCTAAGGCTTGTGAGGGGACCTTTAGGTTTACCGGGCTTCTGTAGAGGAGTCACAATACCTTGTCCTATTGAACTTATGTATTTGTTCCCACTAAATGACTCGTTAATTGCCTCAGCATACTTCTCAAAAGTGATTGGATGGGCGTACTTTATCAACTCATTCTGGAGATTATCTGGACCACTGGCACGGTTTGATTTGAGTTTACTTGCAGCAAGTTCAACTTCAACTGGTGTAATGGGGTTATCAAGTGGTTTTGGATCGCAGGTAAAAGGTTGCAGGCCAGCTTCAACTCCTTCTGTTAGTTGTTTTTCGAAGAAAGATTTCGCTGTGTTTGCTTTCCCTAAATCAGTACCAATAGGGTTGTTGTTGATATCATTGACCACTATGTTACCCGACTTTTTTATTCCAGCTAAAGATCTTGAAGCTTCAAACATCTTTCTAGCATCGTCAGTGTTATTTATTTCTTCTGCTAGAGCGTCAGCCTTCATGTTATTTATTTGCACAAGTCTCTTAGAAATGCTATTCTGAATCTTTCTTACTGCTCTCCTATCTCCACTAACATCACTACCATTTGGGGCTGATTTGATCTTTAGAGTCTGATCACGCTTTTTAGCAACTAATGAAGCTACTGTTAGATCACTGGAGAAATTTTGTTTAGAGGATTTCCCTTTCAGGGGTATAGTTTCTTCAGCACACGCACATAATATAAATAGTATATTATATTAATCCTAATTTACATCGAACTTTCCCAATTTGTCCCTCTCGGAAGACTGGACACAGAATCAATTAGGCAATAATCCATGTGCAAGACATCAAGACATTTTACCACCCAGCTGGTTATACCCTGCATGTTCCTACAAACTTTTACAAGCCACCCAGCGTGAAGTCGCTCCATTATTTACAGTTACAGACTACAGTTCCGAATTCCTGTAATTTAAATCTTACAATGAGGGATAATAAATCTAGTCAAGTTTGTGTCAACAATTTGGATTATTTTTAGAATATCTCCTTTTTTCCCTAAAAAATTCAGATTATAGACTTTATAAATTTCCTCTTTGGTACCAAAAATGTCCTTTCTGGATGTGGGGTTATTGTATTATGCCGACTCCACCACAGATAGTTAGATATGGCAGCAATAGGCAGTATCCAAGACGCCCGACCCGACCATGTTTTATGCCCGACCCGTCTAATGTTTAGTTCAAATGCAATTAATTAGAGAACTTACATTTCTGTTGGGTATTGGCTCCAGTCGCACTTCTTTATGACAAACAGACCTCTGCTCGGCACACTCCTTCTCTTCCTCCTCCTCTATAACGAGTCCTGCTAAGTGAACAGCGAGATTCGTGACGTCATCAGACGTAGTGACGTCATCAGACGTAGTGACGTCATCAGACGTAGTGACGTCATCAGACGTAGTGACGTCATCAGTAAGAGTGTTAGGATTAGGGATAACGAAATCATGGGTCGTGAAATTATCAGCTGAGGTAGTTTCAGGATCAGTAGTCGTGGTGGAAGGCAGTGTAGTTGAGGGAGCGGTACGGTGTTCTGAAGAAGAGCTGGTTTCTTGAGACTCACTTTGTGTGGAGTTAGAAGAGCTCGCTGATTGTGGTACAGTGCTTTTAACAGGACCTTTAATGGGTGTTACCGAGTTGAACTGGGTTGTTGTTAAGTCTGAATCTCTCGCTGAACTGATATTTCCTTCTAAGCTGGTGGATGAATCATCTCTTATATCTTCATCAGGGACTGTGGAGTGAGTTTTAGGTGGTCTGGTTGAGAGGAACCCTCCTCCCTGTTGTGGTGTTGTCAAGTTTACAGTTGATCTGTGAGTCGTTGTAGCAGCAAACTGAACTTATCGAAAGTTACAAAAGACAGGAGAGCTCTATTACTACAACGAAAGCTACACTGACTACACACGTTTTGAGAAATCAACTTAAAAATTGGGCACTCTTGAAAAAGATCGATGAAGATTATGAGCGGCTAAAAAATAAGACGTAAAATTGTCCATCAGTGCAAAAAGCGAACGGCTAAAAGTTAGGAAGTTTGATATTAGTGTATATTAATCCCTCGCCCCACAAATGGACATTGAGGAATAATATCAACTGTAATAGCGAATAGACGAATTATATACAACGCATCATGTATATTAACGCAGGACTCTGAGATAGTCCGCGAGATTCGGCTAGATTTTGTGAACTACATTTAAAACATGAGCTAGGTTGTATGTAGACGATCAAGTGAGGTCTTGTAAACAAAGGGAACCCTACATTTTGCGAATGTGGCGCCCTGCTTGGCAAGATCCTTCACTATGTATATTTAAGAGCATTGAACATTATTCATAAATAATGAACATGCACAGTGTACAGTTCATTTTGTCATTGACCATTGTATTATGCCGACTCCACCACAGATAGTTAGATATGGTAGCAATAAGAGGCAGTATCCAAGACGCCCGACCGGACCAATGAGGTAAACAACTTTATAGTGATCCTAGCTCTAATCTATCACGCGCGATCTATCACGCGTGACTTTGGCAATCGTTCATTTTCCCCTTTATCTCATTCGTGCGGTAATCACACATAATAAATTATAAATAATTATAAAATGAATTAAATAGAAAAACATATTATAAATTTTCTTTAAGAGTTGATTTATTTATGTTTTATAATTATGTAATAAAGATATTATATTCGTAAAATGTTTAACTTTTCATTTCGCCTTTTCCTTTTGTCTAGTAGTGTTTAGTTAGTTTTGTCTATAGTGTTTAGTTTAAATGCAATTAATTAACAGAACTTACATTTCTGTTGGGTGGGGGCTCTAGTCGCACTTCTTTCTGACAAACAGACCTCTGCTCGGCACACTCCTCTTCTTCCTCCTCCTCTATAACGAGTCCTGCTAAGTGAACAGCGAGATTCGTGACGTCATCAGACGTAGTGACGTCATCAGTAAGAGTGTTAGGATTAGGAATAACGTAATCATGAGTTGTGAAATTATCAGCTGAGGTAGTTTCAGGATCAGTAGTGGTGGTAGAAGGCAGTGTAGTTGAGGGAGCAGTTCGGTGTTCTGAAGAAGAGCTGGTTTCTTGAGACTCACTTTGTGTGGAGTTAGAAGAGCTCGCTGATTGTGATACAGTGCTTTTAACAGGAACTTTAATGAGTGCTGCCGAGTTTAACTGGGTTGTTGTTAAGTCTGAATCTCTCGCTGAACTGACATTTCCTTCTAAGCTGGTGGATGAATCATCTCTTATATCTTCATCAGGGACTGTGGAGTGAGTTTTAGGTGGTCTGGTTGAGAGGAACTCCCTCCTCCCTCCTCCCTGTCGTGGTGTTGTCAAGTTTACAGTTGATCTGTGAGTCGTTGTAACAGCGTTCCTAGCATCAGTCCCAGTATTACTCAGCTGTGAGCCAGCAACTGCTAAATGTTCCTCTGTGAATAGATCAGGTGGAGACTGGTCTGCGATATCGTCTGATCTAGAATGTTCTGTATGAGCGAGAGATAACCCATCATCAGCCTCCTCTCTTTCACTAAACTGTGAAGTTAACAACACCTCGTTGTTGTTTGTTAATGAGGTATTTGTCTCTGGGGGATTGTCTGTAATGTTGACAGTAACTTCATCAGAACTTGCAACATGTGAGATGTTACCAGTAGAACTACCATTTGCTGAGGTGTTACCACCTACATCAACATCCCCTGTGTTTCTGTTCTCTGCTGCTCTAAGACATTGGTCACGTCGACTAGATGTTAATGCATGTGTCGTTACTTCTGCTGTCGTTCGAACCGTACCTTTACCTTTACGTTGAGAATCTGAAATGTAGAAAATGTCAACTGTGATATACATTTTGGCAATTCGCAGTCAGAATAACGTACAATATTATCTATATTACCAAGAAATAGATACGAGTTATCCGATCACAATAAAATAATAAACACCCGTAACATCACTAAACCCCAAACCTCTTAGCCTTTCCCTCTCACTCTCCCTCTCTCTATTCAGCAAGAGAGACTGCATCTTCATAACATTGGGATCTTCTCTCTCATATTGTATTCTAACATCTAGCTCACACATACAGAACTTCTTTTTGTGCACATTCTTAATAAATACTTGAGCTCCACCCGTTCCTGAAACCTCCACATACCTGAACAGAACGGTTATTTTGAACCTAAATGGGTGAAAGTGGACGTACATAATCATATGCTGCTTTTCGATATACAATTATTTAACAGTCAATGAGTCAACAGTTTGGAAATATCAAGAAGTTCATTTTTGTTTTGCTATCAACAGACAACATAATATCATGTGATTTTGGAAAAGGTATATTTTCAGTTATTTTTTAATAAACGTACGCTTTGTGGGTTTTCTCGTCGATATTAACTCGCTCAATTTTAACAGGGGGCTCACTTCTCAGACACTGGTTTTTCAAAAAGTTCTTCAGCGGTATCTGTAAATACATAGGATGTGATAAGTATTATTATATCTTACGTTTTAATAAAACGTTTCTTATAACAAATTAGCTACTTTTTCTAAGGGGGAACTTTATGGGAAAAAAAAGATGCAATTTACATCCGACTATCAAACTATTGTAAGTAGACTTACTCTCTGAGCTTTTGCAGGTACATTGTACACCACAAGTTTGACAATCTGCTTACCAGGGTCATTTTCTCCTGCCACCAACTGAAAATATTTGAATTATAAAAGTTACCCAGGCTTTATTGTATTTAGGTTCTCAATACTTGTGAATATGCAAGTTGTTAAAGTTTTAAATTTAAAGACTTATATAAACTTAAGAGTTTTATTCAATAAAATGAAATTTTAAACTACAAACAGAAAACATACTATATTATCTTAACATACTATATTATCAGTACTTCGTGAGTAGTACAGTACTTCACAACGATAATCCGCCTCCCAAATCGCAAATTAAAAACATTACACACAGTATGCACACTCACAAATATGGCAGTGAGTATCCCAGCTGCATATAATGTAGTGTACTAATAGCAGCAGATATGAGATAACGACACGATTGCTTACTGATAGGCGTGCAAGAAATTCCTGAGCTGAATAGGGCCGGTAGCTCAATTGGTAGAGCACCAGGCATGTAACTCGGAGGTTGGCGGATCATACCCGCCCCGGCACTATGCCGGCCCATGATTTTCCGAATCGCTTACCAGTGGAAATCTAGTCAATTTAAATATCTGCTTGCTTGGTATTCATGGTCGATAAAATCACAGCCCAACCACATTCTTGACCAGATCACATGTGCATACGACATCCTTGGGAGCCGTCAGTAGAGCTTGCTCTCTGACTCGTGGGTTGAAAACATCGTGTACAGTACTTCGTGAGTAGTACAGTACTTCACAACGATAATCCGCCTCCCCAATCGCAAATTATCAGTAATATAAACTTAACATACTATATTATCAGCAGGCATGGTCAGATCGGTCCTTTGTTTGTTTATCTTATTCCCTCTGTCATTCCATGCCTCTGACATAGGGTTGAAGTTGTTGAGGGAAAACAACTCCTCCGTGGTCAGCTCACCAAAACCATTGGAGGAACTCTTCTCCAGTGGACCTAATTCGTCTTCCTTTTCTAAAGCTTCGTTTAGATCCTCGCTTGTTATTGAGTCGAACAGTTGATCAGTACTAGATTCGTTTTCATTAACGTTCGTGTCAGCTGTTGATATATCATGACTAGTACTACTTTCTGAAAATAAATTGAACGCATTATTCGTATGCAAATGATATAGAAGAAACCAAATTATTGCTATCAAAATAAATAATTAGTTCCACTTATTCATATTACTATTGGTAATTGGTGGTTTGATTATTAACTGAAGAAAACTCAAAGATATGCCTACAAATTTTAAGTAATACAAACCTCTAATAGAGCTTATATGTAAACCATTTTCTTCAAGAAAATGTGATTCTCTATCACTGTTTACTGAAGTATCCAAAGGCTCTCCACCTTCAGCATCATGATAACGGTCAACATCAAGATCAGAATATAACTCCTCGCTATTTTCATCTTCAACAAGCTCAACCGGATTGGTTTCATCATCAAGGGACTCCCTTTCAGTGACCTCATTTTCAAAAACCTCTCTGGAAACAACGGCTTCACCATCTGTTCCATTTTCATTTGATTCGAGTTGAAAAGAGTTAGACGGGTCTATGTGTGGGAGTAATTGTCTAACAAAGGGATCAAAGTTTTCCTCCCTATACAAAATGTCCATCATCATGTGACCACCATCCTGATCGTCAGATTGCATAGTAATTATTGCAGGAGTAGGATTCCTGAAAAAGTATGATCTGAATTGTATATTTTTTCATAAAATAACACACGAAAATAAAATAAAAAATGAAGTGAAATAAAATGACACATGAAAGAAGAAGCGGTTTGTACAATTACTTTTGGGCTACTATACCCTTCTATTTCACAGATGTAAACATTTCTGATTAAAAAATAGTTAAATGATTGGATGCAACAGTGGACTTACTCATTTAATCGAAGATCCAAGACCCACAATTTGTGCACAGACACAAATGAGTAGCTGACGTACATATCATCGCAACAGGTAAGATATGGAGGACTCTCGAAAATATTTTCCAGGATCTTGAGGACATCTTGGCAAACAGAAAACCATGGATCATCATCACTATTTCTTCGATACACAAGAAGCTCTAGCTTTGCATCCTCTACAGTTTCAAACTTTATGCGGTTGCCAGGAAATTTCTTGACATCTTCTTTCTGGAACATACTTGAACTGGGAGTAAGTAAATCAATGAAAAAAGGGGTCATGCAACATGAACAAGCTTTTGGCTCTTATGTATGCTCGTTGGTCAAAAAGTTTGTCAAAACTTATGAACTTAAATTAATAAACATAGGAAAAAGAATCTTCCATTAATCATACAGCTTGCATATGCTGCCAAAATAGTAGTCCTGTAGAGTGTAGGTAAGTTTGAAATACTTTAAAAAATTTGATATATATATGAAAGGTATTGAATAAGTAAAATACAATTTTTTAAGTAAAATACAATTTTTATTTTCCACAGAAGAATCAATATATAATATATTGAATTAGAAATATCCGATAATTTCATTAATAATCATTAATAGTTGCTTTGTAAAATCAAAAACGAAAAGCCGTACGCTGAACGCGCGGCATCTAACTTGTAGCCGCTAACATCAAAGCTACCGCGCGCCAAGTGCTGAGGTGCATTCTCATTGACAATTTAAAGGGGGGGCCAATGGGTATTTTTTTGTGAAACTTGATTTCGAGATAGCAGTTGACCAACAAACTAGGACCAGTGACCGAACTTTTGAGGGGGTCCCGGACCCGAACCGCCAAACGGTGCCCGCAGGGCAGCCACACCCATATTTGGTCCAAATAAGGCCCAATTTAGCCAAATACCCTGAACATGCTCAAAACCCAGGTTTAAGGTGCTCTACTTGTAGCTAGTGGTCTCCTGAACTCGTATATGAAATTACATCAAAAATGACTGAGTTATGAGCCAAAAACCTTATGCCCATATTTGGGCATACGCATCAAATTTGGTAGATTTTGTCCCATAAATTGGTCAAATATCAATATTTTTTTCCATCAACTTCTTTTTTCTTAGAAAAGCCTAAGATGGTTAGAAGTGGTAGGATTTGAGGATGAGTAGGGTAGGTAGGTAGGTTTTGTTTGTGTGTAATTTAGAGACTAATTGAGAGACAATTTTAGAGTTTTTTGAGTCAAACTATAACTATGAGTCTTCGTGAGATACCAGTTTTAGACGACAGCGCTGATTACAGCACATGGAAGAAGAAAGTGCTAATATGGCAGCTTGGCACCGCAGCATCAACGAAACAGCAAGCTAGTAAGCTGATTATGAACATGAAAGGTAGACCACAGGAGGTCTCTATAAACATGACATTAGAGGTGCTAGGGGCAGAAGATGGAGTTGATAAACTCATTGCCGAACTGGACAAACGTCAAACTGTATAAGAAAGACAGTACCCAGTCTTTATTTGGTACTGGACAAACTGTATAAGAAAGACAGTACCCAGTCTTTATTTATGTACCCAGTCTTTATTTATAAATAATTTTGAGGGATACAGGAGAGGAGATGGAGAAGATATAGACAACTACATCTTGGAATTCCAGAGGAGGTATAAAATCCTCAAACAGCTGAGAAAGAACGAAGATCTTTACGATGACATGGTATTAGCGTATAGAATTTTAAATCAGGCAAACCTCAATGATGAACAGGCTAGATTGGTTCGAGCAACTTGCACTGCTACATTATCATATGACCTTATGCAAGAACAACTAAAAAGGACCCAAATTTCACTGTTTTGACTGAATTTTTCTTGAATGACCATCTTACAAGGTCACTGAAGATGGCACAAGACACGATTGAGGTACTCAAAGTTCTATTCCCAAAGAAAGCTTTGATAAACGGAAAATCATCAGAATATAAAAAGAGATTTTGGAAGATTTTTGAAGAGGAGTTTTTCTGCCGTCTCCTCGACCGAAATTTGGCTGTTATTACTTAACGGGTGATACTCGTAAAATATCTGTTCTATACAACTTATCTTACTGCTAACTCAGCGACTAAACACACAACGACTTTGACAATTGACAGATGATTAAACAACTGTGAGTTATGACGGACTTAACTGTATGGGTCAACTACTGAAACTGTATTGTTTACTATTTTATTCATTATACTGGACATGAGATGACGAAGTATCTTAAGCAGCACTTTATACCCCCACTTAGAACTTGATTAGTCACGAACAATAGAATCATCAAAAACCAATACAATAAAACATCTTGATCAATTAATGCCTAGCAGCACCAGACAGCAGCAGTGTACCTTTTTCGACTCCGTGGAGTCCCTGATGGACTTTTGTTTATTTTTGTTAATAATCGGACCAACCTTTCTTTCTCGAAACATGTATCCTATTGTATTTCATTATAGTATTAGGATGTGAAGATATACTAGATATAACAACGAAATAGAGGTATACCAAATTGGCCCTTGATATTAACTATAACCGTGTTGATGGTTTTAAATTTTGTATGTTGTAAATATTTTAGTTTGTGAAGCGTTTACTCCTCCCCCTCAGCAAGACAGTTAAATTGTAGATTAATGATAATAATTGTCAAATGACGTTATATATTATATAACAGTTATAAATGTTCACTAGTTGTAGAGCGATTTCAAGAGTAGTGGTCCACAGGGGTCCGAAAAAGCCGTAGAGGCACTTGGGTCCTTATCCTTGTCACTAATCTCAATTGGATTCGGTTTACACAAAACTTGCCGCGCCGCATAAGAACGGATGCGTGCAGGGGCTGGAGTACGCTTGTATGTAGATTAATGAAATGGTGCATTGTAAATATTTAGAATTGACGATATATTATGATCTAATAGTAAATTTTACAAAGCTGGCTTTAGATTTAGGTAAGATTATAATTTATTTTTAAAAAACCCACGGATAATTTTAAATTTATTTCTATTTGTCGTATAATCATAAACAATTTAATCTTGTTTTCAAGAATGAAATGAAATAATGTGCTTATATCCCGCCCATATGGTTAGCTGCCGGCACAAGTGCCAGCTACTAACCATGTCAGAGCGGCTCTAAAGGGTGAGTGAAAAAGACAAGCGTGAAAATGAATATGACAATGTCGTAAATAATTTAAATTAGTCTAGGATCTTGTCCTCACAACAAATAATACCACTTCTGATATAATATCGTCTATTCAAATCGTCCTTTGCCTTCTGTTTCATTTCCAATACCAGCAGATGGTGTTTGGTTTGCTCCTCAGGTGACCGATCCGGAGAAATGAAAACTGTTTTGTGGTGCTGACTCAGTTTCAGTTTTTTCGATTTCAATAATATATCGTGGACATTGTTGGTATTTGAGACCGATATTTTAACAGGTCTGGTCTTGTCGGCTAATCTCCTTCCAATCCTGACAGCTTAAAAGCGTGGTTTTACTTCGATTTGTTCAAACAGTTCGTCTACTTTATCGGATAGTTTCTCATCATCTGTCTCCATTAAACCAAACACGACCAAATTCCTACTGCGGTCCTCTTTCGATACAGCACTCTGAACTACCTTTTTCAAGCTCTGTTCTGTCAGTGCAGTTTCCGGCGGGACCTTCGAAACAGCTTTACTGTATGACCTGATCTCAGCTTGTACACTTTCCTGAACGGCATGGGCAGATTTAACGGTGGTCTGAACAGATTCCAACTGCTTTGATTTGCCCTCAAGAAGTTCACTCTGCAGTTTAATCACCGAATTTTGAGATCGAATAAGAGAGTTCTTCAACTCCTCCACATCTTCTTTCATTTTGACAGCTTCTCCTACAAATTGTTTCATATGCCTGTACACACTGTACAATAAATTTGACATAACTTTCTTAGTCGGTTTCCCTGGTTTTTCAAATTGTTCTGCTGAGAACTCTGATTCATCACAGTTTGAGGCTTCTTCAAGTTCTGTAATCCAAGCCTGGAAATCCTGATGCGTTTCAGTCAAATACACAGAGCGAGCTGACACACGCTCTAATAATTCCATATCGTCCATGATGTACTTAACTTGTATTACAAGGCTACACGGTGAGCGCAGTGTAATTAAACGATTTTACTGATAAGAGAGCAACTGTTATCAACACACAAGCTAAAAGATTATACTGAATGCGCGGCTTTGGCGGCCAGTTATTGACTTATACATTAAATTGAATTTTAAATAGAAATGTGAATATATTAAAGTTTAAAACTTTCAAAACGGAGGCTTATAAATATTATTATATTATGATTGTAAAATAAAGGATAAAATTTTAAATTTGTTTCACTAAAATTTGTTTCACTATATATATATATATCGACGAGTCCAACTCGGCGCGCGTCCTGGTAGGTTGTAAACCTACAAGTTATTACTAAAATTTTTACCAGTGACCACTCACCAATCAGTAAGGTCGGTGAGAGTGACGTCGTCACGGTACTGGAGGCAGTATATTGATGCAATGAACATTTTGAATATGTCCTGCAGTTAGGACAAATTCTAATTTTAGGTCACTGAGGACGGCACAAAACACGATTGAGGTTGGAGGTACTAAAAGTTCTATTCTTTCTATAACATACATAGAAAGCTTTTATAAAAAGAGAATTTTTGAAGAGGATATTTTAATATGGTCGTTAAAACTTGGTCTTCACCTCCAAAATCGACTTTTAAAATGTCATTCTTTTGATTTTTCCCATCAAAATAAACCTATCAAAATACTCCTCCATTTTGTTGTGTTTTTATTCTTCCACATTTAATTTGAACTGAACTTTAAACTTTCGACTCTCTGCTCTCTGCTCTCGGTTCTCAGCTATCGGTTCTCGACTTTAGTTTCTCGGTTTTTGACTTCCGACCTTTAACCCATTAGGGACGATAGGGTCGTTTTTATGACCCACCTTTTCTAGACGAAAAACCAAATTACTAAACGCTATAACGAATCTATAGCATATATACTCAAAATTTATTGGGCTTCATTATATGTAGCCCAATAAATTTAGAGCATATATGCTATAGATTCGTTATAGCGTTTAGTAATTTGGTTTTTCGTCTAGAAAAGGTGGGTTATAAAAACGACCCTATCGTCCCTAATGGGTTAAACCTTCAATCTTCAATTTTTACTCTCTAAACTCTATTCAAACAAATTTCCATTCATCTACCTGTTTACTGTTCCTCCAGTTTATCAATCTGGATATAGCCATGCAGCAA